GTGAGCTGCAAAGGAAAATGTTTGTTCAAACTCTCATTCTGCACATTTCACTTTTGGATTTCAAATTGGGATTCTGGTTTAATTTCGATAGACAAACAAAGCTCCCTTTTCAACTTATTCGACTTTTAATGTTCTATTATTAATAAGCATTCTCTTCTATTTTTTGCTTTATATTCATGCACTTGTGCAGGAAGGGGAAATTGGTGGTGGTAGGCTTTCTTTTGCCGAGGGAGGAGAGATATTAGACGGGATCATAACAAGGAGTCGTGGAGAGATAAAGCACACTTGCAGCCCAAAGGTCACAAGCTCATCAGCTACTCCTTCGAAAGATTTCAAACTCCAAAGCCCGCGAGCATACAGCCCACGGGTCAGTGAGCTAAGAGGCGAGAGGACTCCGCGGGCTGGCGGAAGGGGGGCCCACAGCCCGAAAACTACTGAGGTGGGCCCATCTAATTTGGGGATAAGTCCTCGTAACTAGGCCTCGAGCTAGCAAAGGAAAGCTCCATGTCTGCGATTCAATTGTAGAAATAATGCATTGTCCTTTCCTAGTACTTTGTCCTGCTGCCTGTGTTGTAAAATCTTTGTGTAAGCCTTATTTTAGTGGAGACCTGTATTACTATTATTTATTGACCTTTTTTTTTTTTTTNTCTCAATTATCTCAAGTGTTAAAAATGGTGAAGTAAATTTGTTTGTATTTTGTTCTGTTTATGTGACTATATGATCTTCAAATCTCTACAGCTGCACTCGTGTTGATTTTTAGAGATGCATTTCGTTTTACACAATGTGGGGGTTTATGAGCCTATTCAAGTAATATTTATCCTGTCAGATGTAGAGAGGGTTAATAATCTTGTGGATTATGAGCCTATTCAATTAATTGTAACCAGATTTATAAGCTGATTCTAAGTCAAATATTACATTATTGGATATTTGGATCCCATTGTCTTTGTGTGGAAAAAGTCAATAGCAAATAAGTAAGTAAACATCAACAAGGAACAAATATGGGCCAAAAACATATAATACAAGAAAACTCTAGAAAATGAAAGTTGTGAACCTCACGTTAAGTCAAATATTATTTGTGAGTTGTCTCACATCGTTTATACAGAGAAAATAGACTCAACTTATAAGACTAGTGAACTACTACTCCTTTCACTAATTAGTTTTGAGATGAAACTTCATTTGGACTTCATTTAGACTTTCCCCGTCATGGTACGCTTCATCTGCGTGGGACCGCATCCGTTTTACCCTCGATTCATTTGGAGAGTCATTATTACGTGAAGTTATTTTAGGCTTCAATGAGTAAGGTCCCACATTGATGATCAATTAGAGTTTGTGTCAGAAAAGATACTTTTGTGGTTTGGTAGCATCGACTTGGGTGTGGTGTGAAACTTTTGGGGGTCCCTTTTGTAATTATCATAAAACTTTATTCCCGCAACATGGCCCAGCTCAGTTCCTATTGAACAGTGCTACTACCGTGTGCCTAGGTACACCTAGCTAGGTGTGTCAGGGCAGTTTAAAATGAACATGTTATGTTACAAAATGAACATGTACAAACATGATTTGCACATGTTCATTTTGTAACATAACATGTTCATTTGTGGCACACCTAGCTAGGTGTACCTAGGCACACCTAAGTATTTGCGCCTATTGAATGCCTCCGAAAGCTTTTTAATAATACCCACCAGGTGCCGAGTTTTACGGGCAACAGTATGAATAATTTTGATATGAGGTGACATTTTACTAGCCAAAAGTCAAATCTACACGAAAGTCGCACGTGAGAGTATGATCCCACATTTGGACCTTATTGACCTCTGGTACAGTCAACCGATGTCAAATATTCTGGGTATAGCCCATGAAATAAGACATATATAAGCCCAATAGCTCAAATATTGGGCTCTATATCTTCTACTAACTAAAGGCCCCTGCCTTTTTCCAACGAGAGATTTTTAGTACTATCAACTCTCAAAACGTGTGAACTGGGTTCTATGCAATAGATTGGGCCAACATATTTATCCTTTCCAATATCGAATGACCCTATAATAAGCGTTTTAAAATTCTACAACAAATGAGTACTTGTCACGGATACTAAGAAAATAAAGAACACAATTATATAAACCAGAGACAAATTTTACTAAATTTTCTCTCCTTTATTTCTTTCTCTTCTTTTTTTCTTTTTTGTATTTCTATGTGTACATGCTCAATGAATTGAGCCATATTTATAGGCAAAATTTTGTCACATTTCTTTGACATTTTTACACAATGTACTATTCATAGTCTAATTTGTACAATAGTCTATTATTTACAACATAGTCTAATTTGTACAAATGACTATTTGTTAGTCCATTATTTACAACGCTCCCTCTTGGACTAACAATTATAAAATGTACATTAGTCATTCATCATGTCAGGAAAACCCGGTGGGACAAAAACCTGAGCATTATTGAAGCACAATATTTCTCTCCCTCAAATAGATCATCTTTAGTGGAGTATCCACGTGCTGCCTCGTTAAAACCTTTTCAAGAAAACCCAGTGGGAAAAAACTTGATCGAAGGAAAAAGAGTACAACAACTCCAGTGTCTTCTAGTCATCATAAGGAATTATATCTTGTTGCCATCAGGTACATTCCACCCCTTAGAATTATCACTATTAAATGTGTGTTTATGCTGCCTCGTTAAAAACCTAATCTGGAAAAACCCTATGGGAAAAAAACCGAGATTAGGAAAAAAAGAGCACAGCCGCACATGCTCCCCCTCGAGTAATCATCTGTGCAAATCTCTAAGATGTCTCATTCCGATGTTATGGACGTGTTTTCGGAATGTTGTAGTTGGGAGCGCCTTAGTAAATAAATTAGCTGCATTATCACTTGATCGGATGTATTGAATATGATCTGTTTGTTCCTTTCAAGCTCTTGAGTGTACGAGAAGAACTTTGGTGGGATATGTTTAGTTCTGTCACTTTTAATGTATCCTTCTTTGGTTTGAGCGACACATGCTGCATTGTCTTCAAATATCACCGTCGGATCTTTATTATTCGATAATCCACTGGCTTGTTGAATGTGTTGAGTCATGTTTCTGAGCCAAATACTTTCCCTAGTTGCTTCATGAAGTGCAATGATTTCAGCATGATTTGAAGATGTAGCAACCAATGTTTGAGAACGCCAAGAAAATGCAGTTCCACCAATCGTGAATACGTAGCCAGTTTGAGATCTCGCTTTATGTGGGTCTGATAAATATCCTGCATCTGTAAAACCAATCATTTCATGTTTTTTTATCATTTGAGTAAAATAATCTCAGATCGGTTGTTCCTTGGAGATAACGGAATATATGCTTGATTCCATTCCAGTGTCTCCTCGTAGGTGACGAGTTATATCTTACTAACAAGTTGGTAGCAAAAGATATATCTGGTCTAGTGCAATTAGCAAGATACATAAGAGCTCCTATTGCACTCATATATGGTACCTCAGGACCAAGTATTTCTTTATTTTTTTCACAAGGTCGAAATGGATCCTTTTCAACATCCAATATTCGATTAACCATTGGAGTACTAAGGGGATTAGCTTTGTCTATATTGAATCGTTTCAGTACTCTCTTAGTATAGTTAGATTGATGGACAAATATCCCATTCTGTACCCTCTCAATCTGTAAGCCGAGGCAATATTTGGTTTTTCCGAGATCTTTCATTTCAAATTTGCCTTTCAGAAAAATGACTGCTTCTCGAATTTCATTTGTTGTTCCAATAATATTAAGATCATCAACATAGACAGCAATTATCACAACTCCATCATGTGATTTCTTTATAAAGACACACGGACATATTTGATCATTTAAGTATCCCTTTTTAAGTAATTGTTCACTCAAACAATTATACCACATACGCCCAGATTGTTTCAAGCCATATAATGACATTTGTAGTTTTATCACACATAACTCTATAGGTTTGGAGTTTAGTGCTTCTGGCATTATGATTCCTTCAGGAACTTTCATGTAAATGTCTGTGTCTAAAGATTCATACAAGTAAGCAGTCACAACATCCATGAGACGCATCTCAAGATTTTCATGGATAGCTAAACTGATTAAGTATCTGAAAGTAATTGCATCCATGACAGGGGAATATGTTTCATCATAATCAATCTCAGGCCTTTGGGAGAATCCCTATGCTACAAGGCGAGCTTTATATCTCGTGATCTCATTTTTTTCATTTCTTTTTGTGATGAAAACCCATCTGTATCCAATAGGTTTTATGCCTTTTGGTGTAATGGAAATAGGCCCAAAAACTTTTCGTTTATTGAGCGAATCTATCTCAGCTTGGATGGCGTCTTTCCACTTATCCCAATCATTTCTTTTCCGACATTAAATTATAGATTTTGGTTCAGGATCCTCAACTTCATTATTAATATCTTTCGATACCATATATGCAAATGCATCATCAATATTTATGAACTCATCACGCTTTCAAATATTTCCATTATTCACGTAATTAATGGAAATTTCAATATTTTCATTTCTTTCCGAAATTTTTTCATCATCTTGATTCTTTTTCAAATTCGAGTATTGAATTTCTCTTTTCTTTCGAGGATTCTTATCTTTAGACCCAATTGTTCTTCCTCGTTTCAAACGTGTCTTTGACTCATTTGGCATATTATCATTTGGCATTTCTTTTGGAATCTCAATTCGAGCAGGGGCATTTACAGCTGCCACATGTGATTTGGTCACCCTTTTTAAATCAGTAAATGCATCTGGCAATTGATTTGCAATATTCTGCAGATGTATAATCGTTTGAACTTCTTGCTCTCTTTGTTTAGTGGGAGGATCAAGATATGATAGTGATGATGTTCTCCATTCAATATTTCTCTCAATTGATTTTTCATACCCACCTAATTGGGAAAATAATTCTTCATTAAAATGACAATCATCAAACCGAGCTGTAAAAACATCACCTGTTTTTGGCTCAAGGTATTTGATTATTGATGGACATTCATATCCAACATATATTCCCAACCTTCTTTGAGGCCCCATTTTTGTACATTGGGGTGGAGCAATTGGTACATACACTGCACAACCAAAAACTCTTATATGTGCAATGTTTGGTTCTCGACCATATGCCAACTGTAATGACGAGTAATTATGGTATGTACTTGGTCTTATTCGAATTAGATCATCTGCATGCAGAATAGCATGTCCCCATACTGAAGTGGGGAGTTTTGTCCTCATTATTAATGGTCTGGCTATAAGTTGCAATCGTTTAATTAATGATTCTGCTAGACCATTTTGAGTGTGAACATGTGCCACATGATGTTCAACATCAATTCCCGCTGCCATACAATAATCATTAAATGCTTGAGATGTAAACTCACCAGCATTGTCAAGTCTGACCCTTTTGATAACATAATCTGGGAATTGAGCCCTTAATTTAATAAGTTGGGTGAGTAATTTAGCAAATGCCACATTTCGAGTGGATAACAAGCTCACGTGAGACCATCTA